TAAGAAAGATGATGGGAAAATTTCTTAACATTATAAATGTAATCACATACAAAGGAATTTTGTCCAAGTATTTCTCCCTTGTTACAACACTGAAGGAACTGCTCTATATGGCATGCTTATAATAGCAGCTAAGAAATTATTTTATAGAGTAATGTTAGGTAATTTGAAAGATTTCATGAAATGAAATTACATGTAAAGGGTAGTCAATTGAGATCATGAAAACTGACTCTGAATTGTATATATTTTTAATCACAGTATTATTTTCACTGATCTAAATTAATTAACACCTTTTCCATTAGGTCACAATTTTAGGAAAATTTTATTGCTTAGGTGGAGGAGGATAGTAAAAGGTGTTGTATCTTCAGCTCATGATTCATTTCACCAGCTGCCAGAAAGTTGCATGTTGCAGCACACCTGGACACATGCACCCATGACTGATTGGGAAACACATTTATCTTGGCACGTCACAAAGGAGATGGAATCATAATTATTCTCCCTTGTAACTAAAGGTATTTTGGAGCTGTATCTACCTACGAAATAATGCAAATTTCACATCTGGACTAGGTCCACAGAATTTTACCATCTGTTCTTGATATTCAACCATAAATATTTTCCAAAGCATTCTCTGTGTTTAACAAAATAAAATTCAGCTTTAGATGACATAATATTGTAGGAAATGTCATTTTTAAAAGTAAGACAATAACTAAATCACTCAAACCTCTGAGTTTCTTTGGTTGATAAATACCTAATACAATATTAACTTTTACTGTACATTAAGGGGATTTTATATATGTCCCATATTTTAATTTTGAAAAAATAAATGTGTTGGCTAAGTTTTACACAAATTCCTCCATGTAAAAATTGAATATCTAAGTACCTCATGTGAAAGAATAAAAAGGCATCAGAGGTTGCATTCTTAAGTCTTAGGAGTTAGTCATTACACTGACCTCAAAAATTTAGAGATTCTTAATCTCTTCTGAGAATTTCATTAGTTTAGAAGCTTAAAATAATACACCAAATTAAAAGTATTCTAGATATATTTAACAAACTATGCAGAATTGTGATTTTCAGAAATTGAAAATATTTCATCCAATATAACTAGTGATAGTAATCTTTGTTTTAATAGTTATTTTAAAATTATTGTAAAACTCATATCTTATGTTTTTCCCTTTAAAGTACAAGTTTGTATTTTTTCTAAATATAAAAATTCAATGAAATCTGTACACAGGAATAAGAGAAAAGATTTTTTTGAGTAAGACCTCAAAGCACAGGTGACAAAAGCAAAAATAGGTAAATGGCATTACATCTGATAAATGACAAACTAAAAAGCTTCTGCACAGCAAAAATCAAGAGACTAAAGAGACAACCTAGAGAATGAGAAATAAACATTTGCAAACTATGTATCTGACAATAAATTAATAACAAGAATACATAAAAACTCAAATACAGTAAAAAAACAATAATCTGAAAAATGGGAAAATAATCTGAATAGACATTTTCCAAAAGAAGACATACAAATGGCCAACTTGTATTTTTTAAAAATTGCTCAGCATCTCTAATCATCAGGGAAATGCAAATCAAAACCACAATGAGATATCATCTCACCCCAGTTGAAGTGGCTTGTATCAAAAAGACAAAAAATAACAGATGCTGGCAAAGATATGGAGAAAGGAAAACTCTCATATGCTGTTGGTAGGAATATAAATTAATACAGCCATTATAATAAACAGGATGGAGGTTCCTCAATATGCTAAAAATAGAACTATTATGTGATCCAGCAATTTCACTGCTAAGTACACATCTAAAAGAAAGGAAATTAGTATACTGAAGAGATATCTGCACTCCCATGTCTATCACAGCACTATTCACAATAGCCAGGATGTGGAATCAAACCAAGTGCCTATGAACAGATGAATGGATAGAGAAAATATGGTACATATATATATATATATATAATGGAATATTATTCAGGCACAAAAAAAAGAATTAAATTCTGTCATTTGCAACAACATGGGATGAGCATGGAAGACATTAGATTAAGTGAAATAAGCCAGGCATGGAAAGACAAATATCTCATGCCTCCACTACATAAAACTTAAAGTGTTGATCTCATGGAGGTAGAGAGCAGAATGATTGTTACCAGAGACTGGGAAGGGTAAGGAAAGGCGGATGAAGAGAGGTTGGCTAATGAGTACAAAAATACATTTAGACAGGAAGATAAATTCTAGTGTTCAATAAGATAGCAGGGTGACTGTAGTTATCAATAATTTATTGTATATTTAAAAATAGCTAGAAGGGAGGATTTGGAATGTTCTTAAGACAAAAAAAATTGACAAATATTTGATGTGATGGATGTCTCAATTACCCTGATTTGATCATTACACGTTGAATACAGGCATCAAAATATCACATGTACCCCCCAAAATGTTTCACGTATTAAAAAAAATAATAGAGATCAAAAAATGCATATTCAACTTTAGAACTGAAAGTTTAGAGAGTAGGCTTCAATATGATATAAAATAATTTGTCATATTTCTTTCAAAAGCAAATAATTGCTTGGAATATTGAAGCCTAAAAACTATTATGTGAATAACATTTTACCTTGCTCTAATAAAAGGATATCACTATAATAATAATAATCTAATAATAATAATAGTATGTAGAGATTGAAAAATGATAGCAACTAATCTAAGCACTTTATACATTTTAATTCATCAACACAACCCAGTGAGGTACATGCCATTATTATTTCCATGTTTTGAGGTAAGGAAATTTCTTTGCAACAGAAAAAAAAACTGCTGAATGAATCATTATCATCACTGATCCTTAGTATTTATATGCACTGAATCATGGACATTATCAATGTGTGAAACTAAGGCCCTTAAATTTGAAATAGAGAGAGAGAGGGAGTCCATAAGTGGTATGCTACTCTGCTGGAACACATCAGAAATTCAGGCTGGAGTAATAATGACATAGATAGTTCAAAGATAAGCTTAAAAATGCAAACAAATTAAAACAAAAGCTATATTCAAACTGTTAAATAACATTAAAAGAGAATGTGAACTATATCAACACCACTGATGTACCATATAATAAATATTATAGGTCATGTCCATAAACCTACAATTTGCCATTTTTATAAGAAGTATATGCTTCTATTAGATTTTAGTAATTGGTTTCTGTAAAATGTTTTTAGAGTTAAAAAACCACAGTCACAATCCATAGTAATTTATTTTACATAATAGAAATTCAATAAATATTTCATATAAAATCTAGTAAGAGCTGTCTTTTCTCTATGTTACCACTTATACACTAATTATTCTCAAAAACTAAAAAGATAGGTCAAGCTAGTCTGCCCAGTGAACCTGTGGCCTCCTGGCCACACGTGGCCCTCCAGATCCCCTTATCAATATTAATAATGGATTAATATTAATAAAGGGATTATTATTTAATAAGGGATTATTATTAATAAAGGGATTTATTCTGTGAAGTTTGGATTCAGTCAGAAGGCCGCACTCAAGGATCCAGAAGGCCATATGTGTCCTCAAAGCCGTAAGTTCTCCACCTGTAGACCATAGCTTATCATTTCCGAGTAATGCTAGAAAGAACTAGTTCCTGGTAAATATGTGTTCTCTACCTATAATTCCAGTTATAAATATGACAATACTGTCATAAGTTGGCCATAGTTCTTAATAAAACAGCTTTTCACATGTTTAAATTACATATTGATTTGCATAGCAGTTGAATCTGATGCCATGAAACATCATTTTAACCTCAGTTGCTGGCTTATGTGTTCTAAACTCTGACATCCCTGGGACTTGGCCAGATCTAATTGGCTTATTATCTCCTAAGATACCTGGTGCCAGAATTTCTTACTCTATCTTAATTGGAATTGTCAACCCTTAGGCATATTCTCTGATGTCCAGGCTATTTCCTACTGACTCACCTTTGTTCCTGCTGTCCCTTTTCCTAGAAATCAGTGCTTGTATGTATGAATGTGTCTCTTTCTCTCTCTCTCTTCTCTTTACCTAAGGAACATTAACTCATCATTTGAGTCACTATATAAGCAACACCACCCTGGGTAGAGTTAAGTATTTCCCACTTTTCTCTTTGTCAAACTGGGTAAATAATATATTATGGTATCAATGACACTGTTAGCTTTGTTTGGTTAAACATTTGACTCATTGACTAGACAATAAAACACTTGAAGACAAGTCTCATTGATTATGTAAGCTGTCCCTAGCACAATAGTTGGAACATAGCAGATAGTCATTAGGAATAAAATGAAGTAAATAACTATAAAATTTAGTCTACATTTTACACATTTTACACAGTTCTTACATATTCTCTCTTTTGTCCATGATTTTTTTTGTTGTTTTTCTTCATGAAGTCAATGCTTATACACAAATCATAAAAATAATTCATTTTCTAAGTGAGTACATTTTTAGAAACACTATGTAAATCATCATCAAATCATCTAACTATAAAATTGTTACCTATGAAGAAAGAGTAAAAACAATCTCAGCTATTAAAATTTACAGCTTCCTGTCACATTCCCTAGGTATTTCTAGGCTTTCATAACTAATTGTTCATTAATTACATTACTCTCTTTAATTGGATAGTTATGAAAAAAGTTTACATGAATTTTTAGAAACAATCAACTTTTTTCGTTTAAGCTATGCTGTGTGTAGCTGAAAGTCTATGTTAAGTTGTATGTATGTGTTTATATGAGATAGGTTACCTAAAATATAACTTTATTCTTTCCTGATTTCAGGTTAATAGGCACTTTAATGTGAATGTAGAATATACAGTTAAGTTATTTGTATATAATTCATGATAAAAATCAAATAAATTTTATCTGCCTAAGAGAATAATAATGATTATGATGACAATAAAGTTGACTAGTACACACTGAATTCCTTCTTCAGGTCTACTTTTTCAACTATGTAATCTTAAACTTTATTCTTCATAAACATTTCAGAGTAAATATGGCTACTTACTTTTCAGGATTTTCCACTTCTTCAGTAACAAAATTGAGGTAAAACCTAAAATATATAAATAATAAATAATTTATAGACTATATTAATATATTTTACCATTATAGTCCAACATTTCAAATTTTAAGTATTTAAAACTGAACTAAAAATTATGAAAACTTTATAAAAAATACTTTAAGTAAGATGTAAATATCAAAAAACCAAAAATTCCCACAAATCACTTTTTGATGAAACCCTATTTGTGAAGAGCTTATCATATGTCTGATACTGGGTGTATGCAGTGAATAGTCCATAGTCTCTGCCCACAAGGAACTCATGGTTTACAGCATGGCCTACGTAGAGTGTGATGCAGTGTGATGCTTCTGCATTGCTGGAGCAAAGATGTGGGAGCCAGAGGACAGGTCTAACCCAATCTAGTAGGTCAAAGAAGGTTTTTCTAGAGGAGGCGTCACCCAACTCGAGCCTTCAAGAATTGCTTAGCCACCTTGAACTCTGGTGAGATGGTGTGAGACATTCCAGACTGAGCACAGCACATGAGCACAGAAGTGTGGCAGAGTGGCCATGCATGGGTAAATGAGAAACAAGTTCAATGTTCTGCAGTACGAGTGTGGCAGAGGGAGTGGGAACAGAATTTAAGTACAAGATGACCTTGGAATCCTGGGAATCCAAGTATTAGTGCTGGAGACAAGTCAATCAAAACTTACAGTGCAATATAAGTGTCACTGCAACATTTCTCAGCTTTCGGGAAGCACTATTAGTCTTCCTAGATAGTGTAAATGTAGTGCACAAGAGAGAACTGAAAATAGTGTAAATAATAATGTATTGTACATGTCAAAATTGCTAAGAGTAAATTTCGAATGTTCTCACCATGAAAAATAAGTTTTTGAGATGAATATATTAATTAACTTGTTTTATTTATTCTATTTTATATTCATAACTTACTCTGTACCCCATAAATGTATACAGATGCTCTTTGACTTACAATTTAGAGCAATGTCCTGAAAAACCCATCATAAGTAGAAAATATCTTAAGTCAAAAATGCACTTAATGTACCAATAAACCCATCAGAGAGTTAAAAAATCATTCGGGCCATCAAAAGTCAGGGGCCATCTGTACAACTATACTTTATCAATTTACAATTAAAAAATAAAAATTTTTAAAAAGATAGTAAATTCTCAATTTGTACTTCTTCTTTCCAGTTTACTGTTTTCCAGTAAGCATCCCAAATAACCTCAAGTCACAAAACTATGAAGTTACCATTTTCTTGTTTTGTGTATTTAGGCAGTTAAGGCATATTGTTAGTCATTATACCACAAGCTGACAACTAAAGATCAGAAAATTTTGAAAATTTCCCAAGTCCAGAACACATTTCTGAATCTCTTATATGACAAGAAGCATTCTAGGCATGCAATATTTCACTTTCAAGTTATACAGAATTGCAAGTATTAATTTAAATGGAGTAATTCACTTTGTGACTCTACTAATTCCACTCAGGAATGCCTACTGCCTTGCATCCTTGATTTTGCTTTCCAGCCTAAAGGGACTTCTGGAAACCCCTTAAAGCGCTCATAGTTCTTTCTTAATGTTCCACGATGTCAGCTTGAGTCAGATTCCATCCGCAGAGAAAGCAAATATAGATAACTGGATCATGAAAATGGAAAAAATCTAAGAGATCATTATGAAAAAGAGCTAGACATACAAAGACAAAGATTTTTTTACCTCTTTATCTTGTAGGTTTAAGAAATTTTTATAAAATAAAAAAAAGTATTTTCAATATACTCTTCTGTTATCTTATTAATCTTTAGAGAGTAATGATAACCTTTTTCATAGGTATGCAGGAGCACAGGTGCATAGGTGCAATATAAAGCCTAAAATTAAATGGTTGGAATATTCACCTAGCAGCCCTTAATATATTAAAATTAAATGGTTGGAATATTCACCTAGCAGCCCTTAATATATTAACTTAAGTATCTCGCAACCTAAATCAAGGATGAGGAAACCTGTTTTGCTCCATATTTATTAAAACCTCATCTAAATTCACAAGTAGGCAGCTGAGGTTTTAGGTTAAGGTGCCTACAGTTTTAAAGACTATATTTTGAGTAAAAACAATGGAAAACCTGAGAGAACAGGAACAATAAAGGTGATCTAAAAAGTTAGCAGCCAAGGATTTTTTTAATGACTAGAAAGTAAGCTTCTAAAAATAGAGGTTGCATCTATACCAGGAAAGCAAGCAACAATCAGTACTTATATCTGGAATATGCGCTCCAAGAGGGATTTGATGTGTTCGTTATAAGCCTGAGGCAACAGGAAGTACAGGAAGAAAAAATAAAACCACACACCAAAAAACAAAAACACAAAAGAAAAAAAAATCCCACACACTAAGAAATATTTCTGTGCTTCTTATGTCAAAAATAGCCAGTTTCTTCTTGCCAGTTGTTTTAGAACACTTTAGAAAGTGTTCTTTTTCAACAATGTTAAAGCAAGAAAGGAAATATTTATGAAAAAGGAGCACATTTTCAAATATTTGCCATAGCTCCCGAGAAAAGAGAAAAGGAAAGGGCTGGGGGAGTAGGAAGGAGAAAGCTTTTTATTTTAGTCCAAACATTTGCATCCTGTGGGAAATCCACCTTTATGTTCTCCTAGTCTCCAGAAATTAGTCCATAGTATTCTCTTTGGTTTACATCTCTTCATGGCCTCTAGAGAATGTTCACAAGATCTATTGTTCCAGCTTTTCCATGATTGTGCATAAAAGGCACTGCAATGCCAGCAATGCACTCTGATACCCAACTAGGTGAATTATTTTAAAAAGAAGCTTATTCTTTAGATTAGATTGGACACAATGGTACAAAATAATCCCAGAAGGTGCTTTAGAAAGATTAAATCCATTGAGGATACGATTTAAAAGGAAGAAAAAAGACACTGAAAACTATTTTCTATCCCCAAATTAAAAAAAAAAAAAATATATCGCACCAAGCAATATTTTGTTTTGGATCAGGATATAGGACTGAAATTGGTTGGGTTCCCCAAGGCCATAAGGGAGACTGGCAGATGTATTTCTCTGAATGTGGACATTGGCAATAATATTGCAGTTGTTCTGACCCAACTCCATGACCTGGCTGGGTTAATGATTTCTTTTCTCCTAATCATGTTTCTGTGAAGGAGTTTTTTTTCATTCTAGAAAGGTTCATTGCTCCTCAGAAATAAAAGTCTGCTCTATTCAGATTCCTCAAGGTTTGGTGGTGTCTTTTTCCTATGCAAACAGAGCAGGGTCTTCAGGACAACAAAGGTCTTGCTGCTTTTTTTATTCAGGCTCACAGACTGGGCAATAAATTCTGATGACAATAGCTGCTTTGCTCTGTCTTAATCATTTACAATACCACCACCATTTTCTTTTCTTTTCTTTTCTTTCTTTATTTTTCTTTCTTTCTTTTTTTTTTTTTTTTGCCAAACTTTATCATAGCAACAGCATAGAAAGTGGTGGCTCATTTGCAGTTCCCCACTGATAATTCTACAATCAAGTCTTATAATTATGTCATGAAGGACAGAGAGCGGCCAGAAAGGCAGGGATCACAATTGGAAAGTGAATAAATGCCCCTCTCTTGGGGAATTCTTTTAGTCTCCATCTTGTTCCATTTACATCCAGATAATAACTTTTCTTCTGGAACTCCAAACCATCACACTATTATTTTTTCTAAACACAGCTTCCTTTTTTGTAAGACTGATGACCATAGATTAACAGCCAGATTATTTCTACCTCTTCACAAAGCAGCATTCAGGTAGCCCAACCACCTGCTATAGAAGCACAGTTACTTATCTGTCCCCTACGTAAGCCACTTGTATCAGATAACATTCCATTTAAAATCCTGGACTTATTTTCCAATACTGTGACTGAACCCTCAGGGATATAGTAAATGAACAGTTTCTTGTTCTTTATCGTAGGAGGTAGACATGAGGATTTTATGGGTAAAAGTATAAAAATAGTTCATGCCCACCCTTAGGTCCTATAAAAAGAGTTACATCTTAGGTTTGGCATTAACTAAATAAAATATTAATAAGATAATTCAACTTAAAAAGAATCTTTATACATGGAGAAATACATCAGCCCTCAAAACCCTGCAGAAATGGAGAAAATTTGCTTTACGTGAAGCAGGTGATCTGAATTTTCAGTTCTGAGTGGTGGAAAAGTGAGGAGGGTAAAAGAATTAAGGTTCCGTGGGAACAGATGCATGATACTCACAGGCAAAAGAACTTCATTCAACAGAATTAATCAAATCTCCCTTGTGACTATGTCCACATTCCACATTCCTGATTGCGTATTGCTCAGTTCCCAACACTTGGCTATAGCTGAAAGCTTTTGCTACCTCCTCACTTCGCTCTGTCATCTCCTGGTGACCCTCCCAGTGGCTTGGCTGCAGCCCCAGGGCGCAGAGCTCTGATCCAGGCTGAATAGCCATAGAACAGTTGATTCTGCTTCTAACCCTGTGATCATGCTCAGTTCTTTTCTCTGCCTCGCGCCACATTGTGCTTTGGACAAAAGTAAAAAGACTTCAAAAATACTGAGTGATTCAAAACTAATGCTTACACACAATGACTATAAAAATATTCCTGGAATATACAAATGTTTTTCACTGATCTCTTTAGAGCTACAATCTTCTAACAATCTTCAAACATATTTTGCTTCAAAGGCCATGTTAAGATTTTAAGTTCCTGTACTCTCTTAATTCTCCTCCAATGCTATATTTTTATAATTCAATGAGATTAATGGGGTAAACACTCTATTTATTTTGAAATATATCTTTACATTCCATGCATTAACTGGAAGGTAAGATCCTAAACACTAAAGAAACAAAGGAAATTATATTTGTGTTGGAAATGCATTTACATAAGTTTTGAACTAATGTAGTTTCTCGATATTTTTAGGCTCATAGAACATTCTCACAGCTAAAGCTATGTAACTATTAGTTTTGTAAATAATGTCAAAAGAAACATTGCTATTATTTACTCCAACTATAATGATTTTGATGTTTAAATAATGCTTTTAGACTTATTAGGTTTTCTTGCAACTGTCACTTCCAACTAAATTTTACTAGGTAAATATAATGTATTTAGAAAAAAATTCCACTCTTCTCTATGATTATAGTTTTTTTTTCTTTTCAGTTGTTTTATTGATTATAGTTTTTCAAATACATGAAAAGCAAGGAATATATACAAAGTTATAATGCTTTAACGGAAACAGTAAGCATTACAGATAGACATACATCAAAGATAATTTATCTATGGCATCATGATTTCAATTATCTTTGCTATATATTTTTCTTTTCAGATGTTGGGGAAATTTTAAGGAACTTGTAAGGTCCTTTAAAATGTAACAGAATGTCTAATACAGTTGATTTCATTATCTTGGTTTCTCTTTCCCTGCCTTTAGAGTTATCATTTTATCTCCTGGGAATGTCTTACATTTTTCCATATCTAAGTTATTTTTCTTTCTCATGAGAAGGTGGAAAAATTAATTAATCACTATTTGTTAATACCTTTGGAGCTTTAGCTGAAAGGCCCTTTGACAAACAAGGTACTATTCTTTGGTACCTTATGGTGCTATTATTTCCTTAGTAATTCGGATTGGCTCCTAAGACTCGGCATTTGTTTATATGACATTAGGCAAAATCTAGTAGTCACTTTTCCTAAAAGCCTGTTATGTTTAAGTCATAAGCATAGTAATCGACCTGGTGGAGGGCATCACACCATATCTCTCATTTCAAGTAGAGCATATCACGTTGATCATGGTTACTCACATGGATACTCACAAAGTGCCTGGCACTTTGCTTGGTACTTAACTAAAGTACCAAGCGCAGTGCTTAAAGGAATTAATGCACCATACAAGCCACCAGGTCTGGAGATATCAACTTACCAGCCAGCATATGCATACATTCCATAATAAAAAGCTAGGGGCAACCCCATAAGACTAGCATCTCTTCCTGAAAAGGCATCTTTAAAGTGCTGTGTTTGACCTGCAATCAAATAAGAAGATTTTAGTGTTTTTCAAACAATGGGTTATTATTCTGTCTTTAACCACAAACATGGGGAAGAGGGTGTGAACCATACTGTTTTAGGTCTAGATTTCTTAGTCTCTGATCATTACCAACTTTGTCTATTAATACTATACCCATTCCAGAGGAGTCCAAAAAGTCTATTGATCACTGCTATTACCATTTCACACTTCTCTTTTACTAAAGTTATAGCAGAGATGAAAATGACATTTAAAAAAAAAATCCTTTGTTTGAGTGTGCCTCTACTGTGACCACGAGAGAAGACTAAAATATCTTCTGTAATCTATAGTCTTCAGGAATGTGATAGAATGATCAAAGACAATGCACAGCTTGAATGCAAAGAAATATCCAAGAGTCTCTCCTCAATGAGGAGATGGCAAGAAACCTCAGAGCTGCTTTCCCACATCATTTAACTTTCTGCTTTCTGTTTATCAGGTGTAGTTCCGCAGATACTTGCTAGAACAGTGGTTGGAAAACACTGAGGACCACACCTGCCACCCCAACCTGCTCGCCTCTCGTGTAAATAAAGTTCTATTAGAACATAACAAGGCCAATTCATTTAAGTATTGTCCATGGCTGGTTTCATCCTATAACAGCAGAGTTGAGTAATTTCAACAGAGACCTTATAACTCACAAAGTTAAAAATATTTACTATCTGGTCCTTTACAGAAGAAGTCCACTGACCCAGTGACCTCGTCCTAAAGAATGGCATGGTTTCCTTCTAGAAACATCAAAAAGATATTATACTGAACTTCAAAATAAATAGGTTTCAAAATGTTGTATCAATATGTGGATTGAATGCTTTTATTCGTCAAGTATTAATATTTCTCTGTTTTGTGAATACAGTGGACCTTTTTCTTGCATATCTTTTGGATAGTTTAAAAAGTTAGAAATTCAGATTTACTTTGGTCAGTCAGTAGTCAAACTTAACCACAAAAAATGGCTTTTATTTCCCAAAGAAATGAGCAATGAAATTACCCAAATGGGATACGTATTAGTACCCTTGTTTTAAAATAGATCATTATGTAATTAAATGAAAGGGGTATAGGAAGTGGCTGAAGTATTTGAGACACTCTATCTTCAGTCAAATCTTTGTTGTTGCTTACATCATCCAGGCACAACATATATTGATAATAACACGTGTGAGTATGAAGACCAAAAATGGAGAATGTTGAGTTATACACTAGACCATTTTTCCCTCAAACAATGCCCAAAACATAGGTCATTTTTAAAATAGTAGCGTGAATTCAGAAATCCCCATTTTACTAAAACATTTCTGTGTACTTATAGGCAAAAAATATAAATACTGGAAATCAGATAAAAACATCTATTGAATATTCTTTTTTCATGATTTGTGGTCTCTCTGGCATAAAGGGGGAATATTTCTAAGAGTGTAGCACCAAATAATTAATAAGAAAAATCAAACTCTGTAAAGACTGAGTCACAAACACTGATCTCCAAAAGTGCTATTTTGAAAGTATCACACAAGAGAAGCATTTTATTTCTAAACTTCAGCAATATTTTGTCTGCATTATAGAGGTCTGAGGAAGACCAAGGTCATAATACTCAAAGGGAAGTTTAACAAATACTTACAAGTGGATACAACTATGTTCAGGGTCTGATTAGGGTAGAAATAAATGCACAATCTGTATTAGTAAAGTCTTTGTCTTCCTAGAGTTTCAGATTAATGTAAAAAATATGTGATCATGTTAGAAATAAAGAAAATCACAATTTTAGGCCGGGTGCAGTGGCTCACGCCTGTAATCCTAGCACTCTGGGAGGCCGAGGCTGGAGGATCGCTCAAGGTCAGGAGTTCAAGACCAGCCTGAACAAGAGCGAGACCCATCTCTACTATAAACAGAAAGAAATTAATTGACCAACTAATATATATAGAAAAAATTAGCCAGACATGGTGGCGCATGCCTATAGACCCAGTTACTCGGGAGGCTGAGGCAGAAGGATTGCTTGAGCCCAGGAGTTTGAGGCTGCTGTGAGCTAGGCTGACACCACAGCAATCACTCTAGCCTGGGCAACAAAGTGAGACTCTGTCTCAAAAAAAAAAAAAAAAGAAAGAAAATCACAATATTATAGTAATAGAGTAAATATATCTGCTAAGACTGATCTCTAAAATATTAAAATTTACATTAAATATGCTAATGTTCTTAGGGAATTTCTTCATTGGGTGACATCATCAAGAAGCCTGGTCACTTTAAGCATTGACATCGTAATTATTAACTGAAGAATCCTTCTCTTGTAACTGCCAACAGAATTCAAGAGATACATCATGATCTCTGCTCTTGAGAGATTTGCAATACATTTGGGGAACCAAACCTTGACTTTTGCACATATATAATGAGGTACAAAAATTGACTATAATGCTCCCTGTAATGTCTTACACCACAAAGAAAAGGAAAGAAAATAAATCTTAATTTCAAGGGATAGTATATCATCTTTTCGAATCTAAACTAGAACAAAGGAAGGCCAATGACCTAGAGATTCTGCACTACTTACAGAAGACCAAAGAAGTAACCCAAAGAAAGAAAGCACTAACAAAACATATTTGCCTACATCCCAAATGAATACAGAATACGAGCAGGCCAGCTCAGTGGAGCCAAGGTGAATTAGAAGAACAGACTCATATCTTCTCTTCACTGCAAGCTCTGGTGCTCAAAATCTCCATTGTGTTTATTTTGAGTTGGCTGAGGTTGCTGGATTTGATAAAAGCATTTCCGCCAGCAGGGCTCTAAGATCTCCCACTAGGCTTATTAAATGGTCAACAGCATCTTCCTTTCTCAGCTACAGAGTGACTGATCTTTCAATGTTTGTTATTGTTTAATGCCTCTACCAACAGCGATGATTTTGCTAAACTTTGGCATTTCCTTTTGCCTCTTGTAACTCTTCTCCTGCAACGTCATGAAATTTCTCTATAAATTCTCTTTCTTGGAACAGACAATATCAATGTAAACACTAAATATTTACCATGCCCAAGTTATATGTCACTCTTTTCCAATTTTTCTCTCATGTTCCCATTTATTTCCTACTATTATGGCCATTGCTAATTAAAAATCTCATGTGGACCTTTCTCTTCCAACAGTTTCCACTGAATCCAAGCAAGTGCTGAGGCCTTCTTCACTAAAACAACTGAAACTCTAAATTTCACCACTGAACTTCTTTTTTTATTATACAGTAAACTTTATAAAGCAAATAATCTCAGAAAATGCTACATTTCTGAAGAAATGCAAAATTTACATGAAAACGATGCAGCAATAAAAATTAAGGTTTTTGCAACTATTTTTATTGTCATATAACATTAATATTTAGTTTTTAGGAATGCTGTTCCCATATCTGACTCCTCTTCTAAGGATACCACTCTCCAGGTAAAAGAAATGATAACCAGAAAGCAAAAACAAATTATTGATCACCTTTTATTATTTTCCAGATATCTTTTGTGTTCTAATCTTTATTACTATTATCAGACAATCTTAAAGTAAAAGTAAAAGGACATATTTATCTGTAGTTAAAACTAAATGGCAGATTTGTTTTTTCCACTTGGGGTTTTCACTCCAAACAGTTTGTACTGAGAGAATTCACTGATGCCTTATTTTGTTGCTTGGCCCAGTCTTAATCCTCTTGCTGCCATTCAACTGTAAATACCAACTCACTCACAATGAAGCAGCCTTTCAAATCAATTAGATGACAGTATAGAATTTAAGTTCCACAAGCACAGACTAATTAAGGATTCTGCTAATACAAGCAAAAGTTAGTGTTAAAAGAGATCTAAAGCAGATAACGTATTTTAAAAAGCATTTACTTTTCAGTCCATACCTTTAATTAGCTGCATGACTCCAGGGACTATAATTATCAGAATTGCTGTGAGCTTGCAAAAGGTTAGGAGAATCTGGATCCGGGCGCTCCAGCTGACACTCATGCTATTTAGGACCATCACTGTAGCTGCAAAGGAATAGATGCAGTTACAAAAGGTGAATCCTCATTGTCACCAAGTTATTTTAAGCCCTTGTTCCTCAAAGTGTAATCTATGAATCAGTGGCATTGGCATTACCTAGAAGTGCTTTAGAAATGCAGAATCTCAGGCCCTGCTCCAGACTTAAGCAATAAAAGTCTACTCTTCAACAAGCTCTCCAGGAGATTTTTATGAACATTATTAAAGTTTGAGAAGCTTAAATAAAACCTCTGGACAATAAAAAATTTCTCTCTTGTTCTTTATGTATGTCAATAGCAGTGGACATATATTGCAGTATTCTAATAATCATATCAAATATCTTCTAACCAAACCCTGAAGTCATCACAGCATGCAATCAGATTGCTGATATTGACTCTTTAGCTTGCTATGGCAACTATTTCCTGGCTCACGCTTGCCAATGTGAATCGCACTCAAAAAGGGGCAAGAAGAAGAGAAGTTGGCTAAAATCTTATACTTCATTCTCAGGACTAGTCTTAGCCAGCATTTTTCTTTTTGGTTTTCCTCTCCACATTCCAATTAACACAATAAGTAGTGACTTTCAATATACCATACATATATAGGCTTTCAAGACATGTTTTGGGGCTTGAGTAAAATATCATAAAGTTATGAGCCCAAAAGAGTTCCTCCCAAACTAGGATGCACAATGGGTTCAAACCCAGTAGAATTTCCCATTCCTAATGATGCTCTCTATAGTTTTCCAAGCAATAATCACTATCCACCCTCCCCACCTTCTGGACCATGAAAGCCTAGAGGATAGAACAAGAGATAGTTATCTCTGTCTTGCTAGTATCCAGCTCCATGCCTACCCTAGGTAGATTATTAACACATTAACACATTTTTTGTTGAATGAATTAATGACTGAACTGGATTCTCAGTGAGAAATTCTAAGGTACAAGGTAAATGTGGGTGCTCTAAGACCTTCCTTTTCTACTCTGCTTGAATGTCTGAAGTTAGTCTAGACAGTGGAGTTCAACCTCATGCTCTTTCCAAAACCCCATGTTTATAGTTAACAACAACAAAAAAGCTACTTCACCCCTGATAACTTGCAGTTATTACATACAAGCTTTATTTTTATAAAGGTATATTACCCCTAAACAAATATCAAAAATGTATAAAGCTATTTCTCAGGGGATGAAACAAAATACAGAATTCTCATAATTCAAGTTGTAGTTGGAAGTTTTCCTATGTACAGTAATAAGAGTTATCTTCATAGTTTCCATGGCCTGAAATAATCACTAGTTCATTTCAGAATTTAAGGATCAGTGCAATTACCAACACATAATGTATAATGGCTAAATTTTAAAACAACATAGACCCCTAAAGGAAGGCTAATTGAGGTATGTCCTTTTAATGGTTTACATGCAGATATTTAAAATTATGGCGGAGTTAAATATTTATTACAAGAATGGGTGTTCATGTATATTACTGACTAATACAGCAAGCTATAGAGAGATGAATGGATGGATAGAGAGAGACAGAAAGAAAAAAAGAACTGAAAGAATATTTATCAAAACATTAATAGCAGGTATCCATAGATAATAGAATACCAAATAACTTTTAAATAGAATACCAAATAACTTTTAAATTTTTGTATTTATTTTTCTTAATTATTTTAACAAATTTTATGATGAACATGTAGCGTTTGGTAACTATAGCTAACAACACTGCATTGTATACTTGAAATTTACTTAAATGTTCTCATCACAAAAAGAAAAGTGGGGTAACTAGGTAAGGTGATCGATGTATGAATCAAGTGAAAACCTCAATTGTTTTCACAAAACATATGTATATTAAATCATCACATTGTACACCTTAAAAATCATATAATTTTATTTTCCAAATATATCTCAATAAAGCTGGGAAATTTTAAAAACTAAATAAGCAATGAAGCACATTTTATTTCATTTTATTTTTATTTTTTTGTCTTAGTCATTCTACAAAGCACATTTTTGACAAAAATTCAAAGATAGGGAAAAAAAGGATCAGAAGATCCCATACAAAGTGTAATAGGGGGTTACTAATGAAGGAATAATTCATAGTACTGATGAGAATGATCAGAAAGGCCAAAGCCCTGAATAAGCTACAAGGGACTCTACAAGGGCATAGTTTATCTGTTTGAAACTGGAAACATAAAGGAATAAACAGGTCCAATGTCAGTGGCAAAGTGCATTATTTTATCAGAGATGTGACAATTACTTATCTCTCCCCAACATAAGGCACTTATATATTGAAAATAATTTAGTGTAACTCCTCTCCCCTCTTCATCATCCAGTGAGTCCTTTCCTTTTTTATGCAAATAACTGTGGGATGAGTCATCATATGAAAATGATTATTTTTTTAATTAAGGAGCTCCAACATTAGCATGAAAGTGAAAAAAATTGGTCTCATGTTCCCACCAGGAACAAAAGAGCACTGTTTTCTTTTAAATAGAGCTCCTAAAACCCAAAGCACTCTCTATTTCTGAAAGTACTCTACAATAGGAATGAGCTGTGTAATAGAGAGGAAGGGAGAAAAAGAAAGAAGAAAGAAAGAGAAAAAGAAAAAAAAGAGGCAGGCAGGCACACAAGAAGGAAGGAGAGAGAGGGAGGCATTCTTATTTTTGGAACATCTAACCATCTATACATTTAAAAAGAAAAGAGGGTTTGTTACTTTCATAAAGAATATAAATACCTAATGCCTATTGAAATTGAAAAACAAATGGATAATTGAGATTTTATTTTATATTTTGTAAAGTTTTCTTAGTCAAATGGAAGACAAAATCAAGCAAATATTATGAATATTTATGAATAATTTCACCTTACTTTCCTCTCAGCTGAAATAAAAATTCTGGTTAAGATACTAGTACACTGCTGGTGGGAATGAAAAACAGTAGGGAGTTTCCTCAAAAAACTAAAAATAAATCTACCATATAATCCAGCAATCTCACTGCTGTGTATATATCCAAAAGAAAGGAAATCAATCTATCAAAGAGATATCTGCATGTCTATGTTCATTCCAGCACTATGCACAAGAACCAAGATATGGAATCAACTGAAGTATCCATTAGCAGATGAATTAATACATAAAATGTGGTATATACACACAATGAAATAGCACTCAGCCATAAAAAAGAATAAAATGCTGTCAAAATAGCTAGAAGAGATGATTTGGAATGTTCCTAACACAAAGAAACAAGTGGGTAAGGTGATGGATATCTCAATTACCCTGATTTGATCATTACACATTGTGTGCATGTTAAAAACATCCCACATACCCTATAATTGTACCCCATGTACAGTTATTATATATCAAAAGTTTTTAAATAAAATATGTGCAAAATATTTTTAAAAACAATTTTTCAAAGAAGATATATAGATTACAAATAAGTACATAAAATGATGCATCATTAGTCATGAAGGAAATACAAATTAAAAATACAATGAGATATCACTACACACCTATTAGAATGTCTGAATTTAAAAAGACTGACCATATCAATAACAAAATGTGGAGCCAACATACACTGCTGGTGGGAATATTCTATAACAGTACAACCACTTTGGAAAAGAGTTTAGCAGTTTCTTTAAAATTTAAAAATATGTCTACCAGGTGACCCATACATTCCACTGCCAGGTATTTACCCAAGAAAAATGTCAGCAGGTGGCTTTACAAAGGCTTGCACTTGAATATTAACAGTGGCTTTATTTGTAATAGCTCAAAACTGGAAACGACGCAAATTTTCATTAACATATGAAAGGACAGACAAATTGTGGTACACCTGTATAATGGAATACTACTCAGCCATTAAAAGGGTTGAACTATTGAGATATAACAGTGAAGTGGATGATTCTTGAAATAAGTATGCTGGCCAAATAAGCCAAAAGCAGGACAAATAAGAGCTCATGCTCTATGATTCCAAACAAAATTCTAGACAAGAGAAACTATAGTGACAGAAAGCAGATCAGTCGTAGCCTGGGATGAGGGAATTGGGAAGCAAGGAGGAAGAGATTGGAAAAGAACCCAGTGAGAGTTTAAGGGATGATTAATGTATTCAATATCTGGATTGTGGTGATGGTTTCACAAGTGTAGCCATACTACATCATACTTTATCAAATTGTACACTTTAAGTGTATGGTTTATTGTATGTTAATTATACCTCAATAAAACTTTACAAGACATATTTTTATCAAAGGTTTCTCTAAACCCTGTTTTCTCTGAGCATCCAGACCTTGCACTCATTATTTGCCACACCAGATCCTGAGATGCACCGGTATGACCCGCAAGGTACAGCTTAGCAAATGAGAAGGCAGCCAGTTCAGAGGCACAGTGAAGCTCTCAAGTGTCTATAGCTGTTGCTTCATCATGTGTCTTTACAGCAAAATTTAAGTCTATATCTGTTATTTATCCAACAGTATTGAAAAGGGATTTGGGATTCACTAAATGCAAGAGTTTTCTGAGTTCCCCAAACAAATAATATCTACTTTTTTTTTCATATACCCACATTGTAATAATCAAAGAAATCTGAGCCAGCTCTCTAGTCCTAGCTTTACTTCCTTTGAATTATAATTGCTAATTTCACACATGAGGAAATAATTGTATCAGTTTCAGCTTACTTTTTTACTTGCATTAAATTTTACCAAGATAAAAAATACAGGGTATATAGTTTTTATTTACTTATTTATAGTGCAGTTTCCTAAGAACTGAAATGTAGCAATGAAAGTTGTATCTATAAATCCTGGAGATAAGAAATACATATTTGAAGGGAGCTGTATTTGAAGAGGATGGTTAGGGGAATGTTAAGGACTGAAGCTGTGATTTAAGGACTGGCAAGTATTTCTTTCTGCACTCTGTGTAATTCAAGGCTGCCTTTGGTTTTGAAGAGTGAGGTTACAGAGCCTGGATATATTAGGTTTTCTCCCCAGGTTCAGATTCTTTTTGGCTTCTGACTTCTGATGGCTTCATGCTAAACCAGTAAAATAAATGGATGTAC